ATCAGAATTTGGAGTACTGCATTTTGTCTGAGTGTTTAGCAGCCAAATTTGTGAATGTTCTAGTGAGTACACTGATTGCGTTACGTGGTGATGACTTTCCTTACAAGACGACAACTTTTCAACTTGAATGGGGGAATCTGCTGCTGGGGCTGAAATATTTGCAGGGAGGGTGGTTATATCCAATAGAAGTCCTCTCCTGGATCTCGGACTTTTGCAGGTGATCTTTAGGTCCCACACAACCCTTACCCTGCAGCTGAGGACACAGGATGGAGAGCGAAGGTTATCTGGGGTAATCAGAGGACCTTAAGAGGCTCTCCTCCTGATGTTAAACTCATGCAACATAGAAACCCAAATGACTGAGGATTGTTAGGGTGTCCAAGATTGAATGAGGCAGTCTCTATAGCACTCCAATGTACTCATAGATCAGAGAAGCATGAGACACCATTTGTGTATGAACTCCACCAGCATGAGTCGCTCTCCCAGTAAGTGATATTGCAAATGTTGGTGAATGTCTCCACTAACGATTGTTGGAGTGGGAAGGAATCTCTACGTGATGAAAGGTGGTCCATCATTGAGCCAAGAGTAGGGGTATTGCCACTGTCTGGATAAAGCCATATATGTGATCTACCAACCATCCATCGTAAATCACCATGACTTGCGGGGCAGCAAAGGCTTTTCCCTGGGATGGGTGACAAGCTGCCAAAGCAGGCATAGATGGTGTGGAAACCCAGGACCTTGCAGGCTAAATAGACAAGGTGTATTCAGTATCTGATCACCAACCCCAGAGATTTGAGTCGATAAAAGTCAGAGCGCAGGTCTCTTAGAACCTTCCTATCTAACAACTTCCCCAATGAAATGTACTGTCCAGGTCAAGGAGAACCATGTATCCACCAGAGAAAAATCCACACTGAAACCATGCGAACCTATGATAGAGGCGATGTAATCTTTTCCCCTAGAGTGTGAAGGAGAATCCAGTGAAGGGCTGGACCACGCCCTGAAATATTCTAAACAGATCACAGTCTAGAATGAACATATTTGGAGACAGGTAATGCTATGTCTGCAAGCCCACAGGCAATGAAAAGGAACAACATAATAGCTGAAATTGTCAGCTGAGATATCAATGCTGACCTCCCAATTAGTTGGCTTAGATAACAAGTTAGCTAGGATGGTCATTTGGTCACGCTACCAATAACCAGAAAGAGCTTAGTGACCCTTACTTTCCGTGTCCATGGGTGGTAATATGAGATACCATGTATGTACCCCGATAGTACAATTACTGCTCTTATATGAGTAAAGACAGCTAGATCATGTAGAAGTAATATCTACTGTATACAATTCGTGCAAATGAAGATGGTATTTCGGAGGTCAAAGGTTCAGTTGAAAGGGTGCCGCAAATCTTTCCCTCAACTACCAGATGCCATCTCGTGGTATAGTGTATGCATTGCTTTGAGCGATAACCTCTTGATTAACTATTAGTTAAGGCAGCAGTTTGATTGTGCCACCAACAATTTATCAACAATTTATCAAGGATTTATCAACCCTTGCTTATCAGAGTATTTGTAGTTCCTCAAATCATCAGTAGGGTTTTTTTTTAAGGAAAAACTGACATCTACATTTCATCGTGTATGACTTCTCCCTGTGCAGTGAGGGAGATGTGTTCTACTTTGAAACAGAGAGTAAATTTAGTGACTTTTCAGTAGCGTAAGTCTTCTTTGCTGTTTCACAACATGACTGGATCAACTGGTGTTAACCCTTTCAGATGGGGTGGAAAACTCCCCATCCCACACGCAAAATAATAATAATAATAATGCTATGAAATCACAGTATAGCGTTTAAAAGTAAAGAATAAACACAAAACGTTACATAATGACCTCTGTGTAAGCCTGGTGGTGTGTCGAGTGAGGAGGGAATTGGTAACTTTCGGGGCCAAGGGGACCCTCACTGACCACAAGATAAGACAGGAGGGTTAGCAGGACTCGTTTTTTCCAGATGTGGTATCGCACTCCTCTCTTATCTCACGCACTAGCACAGCAATGGACATGAATAACACCACTATATTGTACAAATATTGTATTTAGCACCCTAATATAAATCACTAAAACTACTATATAAATGCATAGTATTTACACTACATACATTTTTCCTGCTACGTATAGGTGTCAGGGATGGGTCACTGGTACAACCAAGTATCAGCTGCGATTTCAAATGAAAATTGGATAAACTAAAACATCATATGACGTGCGGACCAATGAAAGAGTTACGGCAATACAAGTGGTCAAATACTCCATGGTCTGCAGCCAATTGGAACAGTGGATATCCATTTATTGTGACTCGATGTATTTAGACGGGGCCGCCAAGAGAGTGTATTGATACACAAAGAAGAAACAGAGCAAGTGATATTTCTGGCATTAGGAATTTTGGTTGAATGGTCTACGTCAGCTTACTTCTGCCATTTCATGGAGCCCGTAAAATACTGAAAGTTTCATATGCAGTTCAACACAAAATGAATCGATCATGGTGAACATAAAACACGAGTGAGAATACTCATATTTTGATTTGAATGTTGGACAGAGTTATTAAGTTAACCATTGGCACCAGCCTGTAAGGCATTATTAGAAAAGATCTATGAACGGTTCTTTCATTTATGTTTGTACAGGTGTTTCAGTTTTGAAACATTCGTCAACAATTGGATTTTCTGGAAACGTGTACAAGTAATGGAAATCTCGTGCCACACTCACACGAAAACATAGTTTGACGTGTTTTGCAAGCGTTAGCCAGCAGCATTTCAGTTGTTGTGAGAGTGGTCTGACTGTCTGTGGAAAGTAAAATTACTAAACAGTGTGACTGGAATAACAGATGTAAGCTTGGTGTATCCACGTTTTGTTTCTTTATAATGGAACATTTTTTGCTCAGCACACTGAAATTGTGTATGTAATTTCTGAACATTCTAACAGTACAAGGGCAGTCAAATATGGAATGTTCATGGGTGCTGGAGGCAAAGAGTAACACCTTTCTGTGAAGTGTATAAACTCATCTCTGTGCTTTACTTGTGGCTGAAGGAGTCCTGTGAAATTTGCAGTGGTCTTGGTACAAAAATGTGTAAACCATGTGACACTTTGAGCCTGTATATTTGAAAGTGAATGTTTTGAATCTTTAATGTGGATTTATAAATTCTATGTTAAGGGTTATATGCACTGTTTATTTTATCAAAAAAACAAACAAACAAACATTTGGTTTGTTTTGAATTTCACACAAAGCTACACGAGGGCTATCTGCTATAGCCATTCTTAATTTAGCAGTAATAGACTAGAGGGAAGACAGCTAGTCAACACTACCCACTGTCAACTCTTTTAGCAACAGACAGTGGGATTGACCGTAACATTATAATGCCCTACAACTGAAAGGGCGAGTATGTTTGGAATGAGGGAATCGAACCCTCAGATTGCGAGTCGTGCACCCTAACCAAAAAACATTTGGTGTTTCAGAGTTAGAGAAACTTCATTCTTCTTTTGGTTTGTGATGTCATCTTAATCCTCATCTCTTCACAAAATGTACAGTGTGTCTCCTTTCAGACTTTTATTGATAATTTTATGACGACAAACAATACGTGTGCAACTACGTACTTTGTACAACCAACTGGCCTCATAACTTAGATAAAAGAACAACATATTCATGTACAGTTATGCATTTCCAGATACTACATAAAAAGTGTGTGTGCTGTTAAAATAAGAGAAGTTAAATCAATAGCAAGGAAATCTGTAGAAAAGTTAACACTCAGCATAACTGTGTTACAGATTTTCCCTATTCTTTATATATAAAGTTAGTTGATGAAAACCGTTGCTGTATAGTAAAATTCACACAATAACAAGTTAACATTCATAAAGAATCTGTATTTTAATATTAACTTAAGCTACATTTTCTTTAGTAAAAAAAAAAAGACAAAACAACAGCAGCTTCATGAACCGATTCATTCCAAAGTGATATCTTAGTTTGGTGACAAAGTACACAGGAAAAATCTGATAAAGGATACAAACTCATGGAATCCTAATACTCAATCACAATCAATTATTCCTAGAGTTTACTTTTATTAAAATATATTTGTTGACAAAAGAAACACACACATTTGATGAAATAAA